AATGAATACGACAAACAAAATACAGATTTGAAGTTCATATTTGCATAATAACGGGACTTTTAACATTGATACTTTGTTTTGTCCGATTTTGCGTTGAACACAATAAATTGAGTTAATTTTGTTTTTCTGACGAAATTTACTTTTATCACTAGGAAAGTTGTTGCTTTTTGTATTGTTCAGAAATATAAGTAAGTAATGTGTAACTAAAAGCGAAAAAAAACTACACATTTAGACATTTTTTTGAAATGTATAGCATTATTATATCTGACAAACACTTGTCCGATTATTCGATGGAGCCACTGTATATGGGAGCTATATCCAAATCTGAACCGATTTTCACGAAACTTAGCACACATCATTCTAGGCCTAATTCAGTACGCTGTGCCAAATTTCGTGCAACTCGAAAGATATTTGGGGACTTTGGTGCTCCATTTACATTAAATCGGACGAAAATATATATGGGAGCTATATCTAAAGCTGAACCGATTTTTCCCAATTTCAATAGAGTTCGTCCTTGGGGCAAATGAATGAGCTGTGCCAAATTTCATCCAATTCGAATAATAAATGCGACCTGTACTTTGTTTACAATTTAACATGGACAGACAGACGGGCGGACATGCATAATTCGACTTAGAAAGTGACCCTATGCATATTCTCAAAAGGAACCATGTGTCTACTTCGTTTCCTTTTGCCTGTTACAAACATATGCACAAAGACATAATACCCTGTACCACAGTGTGGTGAAGGTTATAAAAAAAGTGATAATCTCTTCCATTCCCTTGAAGAAATTGGAAGCAGTGTTGCCAAAACTCTGTTGAGAAAAAATGCTAGATTTTGTTGAAAAAAATGCTAGAAAGTGCTAGAAAATTTAAAAAAGTGCCAGAAAAAAGTGCTAAAAATTAAATGAATAAAATTGTTAATATGTAATAATGAAATATTCATCAGAGACCCCATTTTTCTTAACCCTACGGTCAATAACCGGGTACATTTGTACCTTTTTTTGAATAAAAATGCTGTAAAATTTTTACTAATAGAGATATTTGGATCAAATTTTGAGGAATCATTCTTGAGGTATTTTCACACATAATCGAAGAAAAAAATTATAAATATTTTCCATATATATAATTTTTACAATTTTTTAAAGTTATTACCTACGTAGATCAATAACCGTGGTACATTTGTACCCAACCAAAGATAGCTCTGTAACTCATTAAAAAATTGGACTATCGTGAGGTTTTTTATTTTAAATTAGTCTATGCGGATCTGGTCTAGATGTAGGAACTCAAAATTATATATACATTAAAATAATATATATTTAAATCCATGCTTACATGAGAATCTATCTAATACAATCATAGTAAATTCGTTATAGCTTTCGAATGGGTTAAGCTTTTTTAGTTATTTTTTTATTGGGATCTTATTTATGTGTTCCTCAACCCCTCTGCAAATTTTTGTTGCCCTAGACAACATGGGGCCATCAGGGCGACTCGTGGAAGTCAGAAACTACCCTGGTTTTCCCTTGGTATACAGGGACAAAAACAATGATTATTGTCAATAATTATCCAATTATTCTTCATATTGGGCCTGAAACTTTTTCTATAATCGAATTAGTCTGATTTATTATAATCCTAAATTGACGTAAATATATAAACTATCATTAAATAACGTTTTAAAGTATTAAATAGTGTTAAAAATGTGCCAATCACAATCTCTAAACTCATAAAATGTGAATAATTGGCAATAATAATTGTTTTAGTCCCTGTATACCAAGGGAAAACCAGGGTAGTTTCTGACTTCCACGAGTCGCCCTGATGGCCCCATGTTGTCTAGGGCCACAAAAATTTGCAGAGGGGTTGAGGAACACATAAATAAGATCTCAATAAAAAAATAACTAAAAAAGCTTAACCCATTCGAAAGCTATAACGAATTTACTATGATTGTATTAGATAGATTATCATTTAAGCATGGATTTAAATATATATTATTTTAATGTATATATAATTTTGAGTTCCTACATCTAGACCAAATCCGCATAGACTAATTTAAAACAAAAAACCTCACGATAGTTCACTTTTTTAATGAGTTACAGAGCTATCTTTGGATGGGTACAAATGTACCACGGTTATTGATCTACGTATACTTTTTTGGTTATTGACCGTAGGGTTAAAGGCTATTCTTTGTCGATTTAGCCATGTCCATTCGATTGAGGTCGCAATATTGAAAACAGAGCTTTGGAATTTTGCCCATATATTGCACTACTCCTAGGACATTTGGTATTGGAAATTAAATATATTGGTCTTGTTTGTGTATACCATACCCAATATTTGATTTTTTTAAGGTTTTGGGCACATTTTCAACCTAATATGCGGTTTTGTATTTCGGATTCTCCCTGTGTAGAAAGTCTTCTTACTAAAAATTATCAACATTGGTCCACTTTTAAACGTAGCCCTCATAAACACGTTTTAAAATCGAATTGGCTTTAATTTGATATTTCAAATTGAGTAAAAAATCTCCTTATCAGAAATTATTAATATATGCACATATTTAGGGGTTGCTGGTTAACGGCAGCACCCCATTATCCCAAAGTAACTGTAATTTCATATTTCGGGATTTATGAGGTTAGCAAATCGAAGGATATAAAGGGACTTTGGTGCACTATTTACCTAAAATCGGCTATATCTAAATCTGAACCGATATTCATGAAATTTAACATAGATCTTTCTGAAATTTTGCAGTACCATATGCAAAATTTCAAGCCAATCGTAGGATATATAGGGACTTTGGTGCACCATTTACATAAAATCGCACGACAATTTATATGGGAGCTACATATATCGAAATCTGGACCGATTTTCTCGAAACTCACCACCCATCATTGCAAACTTAATTCAATACTCTATGCCAAATTTCGTGCAAATCGAAAGATATATAGGGACTTTGGTGCACCATTTACATTAAATCGGACGGAAATATATATGGGAGCTATATCTAAATCTTAACCGATTTTCACGAAATTTAACACACGTCTTTCTAGGCTTAATCACTATGCACAAATTTCGTGCAAATCGAAAGGATATATAGGGCCTTACCTTAAATCGGACGAAAATATATATGGAATCTATATCTACATCTGAACCTATTTCCACAAATAAATGAGCTGTGTCAAATTTAATCCAATTCGAATCAAAAATGCGAGTTGTACTTTGTTTACAATTTAACATGGACAGACGGACGGACATGCATAAATCGGCTTAAAAAGTGATTCAATGCATATTCTCAAAAGGAACCGTGTGTCTACCTCGTTTCCTTTTGCCTGTTACAAACATATGCACAAATAAATAAGACCCTGACCCTAGTGTGGTGAAGGGTATAAAAATATATGTTTGCCGACATTTTTCTATTTTGGTCCTGTTCGGTACTCTTAAGTGGTTTTAACTTGGCATTCAGGATGGCCGGTGCATTAAAAAACTTATTTTCAGAAAATTTTAATGGACCGCTTTATTTGGTTTTTTCAAATAAACAATCTACTAGCAGACAATGTCATAGTCACCATATGAAGTACCTGCTTACAAATCTACTGTCACTTTTTTAACATTGGAAAATCAAATTCATCGCGTGAAACATAGGGAAATTTCAATGCGTCAATATGAAATCGAAAAACGGGAAAATTTGTTGGGATGAAACAAAAATTATAAAAAATTACTGAAAAATAAAAAATGCTAAAAAAAGTGCTAGGTGCTAGATCACTTTTTTTGGTGCTAAACGAGTTTAAAAAGTGCTAAATCTAGCACTAAAAGTGCTAAATTGGCAACACTGATTGGAAGCACTACCTCATTCTCGATTTTAAATTTTCAAGATTTTCATTGGGCTGGTAAATTAATGCCAATACATGTTAAGGTTTGTAACTTTACACATATATAATTTAAAATTTAAAACAGAAAAAAAATAATTTGCTGAATTTTGGTGTTTTTTTTTTTTTTTGTGGTTAAAGATGGCGGGATTGATAACTCCTCAATGAAACATCGGAATCCGAAAATTTCAAGGGTGTTAAAAAGAGTACATGTCTGGCTCTCGTATGAACTAGGACTATTTTCTTCGCTCAAAAATTAACAAAATGGTGGTCTTTTGATTTTTTTTTTTTTTTTTGAAATTCGCCTATTTTTTACTACTAACTAAGCTAACAAATAATGAAGTTCTTAACCGATTGGCTCTATCCTAGTTCAACCGATTGGATTACTGTTTTTGAATTACCGTGCCCTCATTCGTACAAATACTGCTTCGAGAAAAACGCTTTTAAAGTTTGAGAATTACTCTTGCCGTCTCTTGATGCTGACACAATAAATCGACTATATCTTCAAGAGTTCTTGATATTTTCACTTGAAATTTCGAAGGGACATTCTTGAATTAGTGTAGATTCTAATTAAATCATTAAATTTTTTGACAACGAGAAGTGACTCTTAAGTGAATTATTTTACTACATATAGAGCCCGTTGAAAATAGAGCAGTCCCTTCGTAGAGCCTTCATTATATAAATAATATGAATTGTTACGATTTATTTAGACTATATAAATAGGAATATTAAACATACACCACCATAATATCATAATACCATAATATCTTTGTTTTTGTTTTTTCTATTTTGAGTTTGAGTATCGCTGTTGCCATATAACACCAAATACTCGTACCAATGACTGAAATTAAATCGTTGACATTGTTGCTGGCTGATGGTGTTTTTTGGGAAGTGGGTGAATAAACATAAAATTGCGTCAAAGGGGTTTCCCAATGAAAGATATTTATAAATATAACCACAACTAATAACATTTGTATAAACACACACCACAAAACAAATCTATATAATAAAATATTTGCACTTGCAAAATGATGCCACAGCTAAAATATTTGTAGTGGAATTTTATATACATATTTATTATTATTATTCTGGAATTTTATTAAAATATTTTTGCTAATAGTTTTCATATAAAACCCATATTTATTTTTCTTAGTTATTTACAATGGAAATGGCTGGAGGCTCAACCAATTACATACAAAACATTTCGTATGTATCGTGTACTGGGCAAAGGTGGCTTTGGCGAAGTTTGTGCATGTCAGGTGAGTATTTTTTATGATTTTTATTAAATTTATTAAATATTAATATATATACTCATTTGTATGGTTTTTTAGGTACGTGCCACAGGGAAAATGTATGCTTGCAAAAAATTAGAAAAGAAGCGAATTAAAAAACGCAAAGGCGAATCTATGGTCTTGACTGAAAAACAAATACTGCAGAAAATCAATTCCCGTTTTGTTGTTAATCTGGCCTATGCTTATGAAACAAAGGATGCTTTATGTTTGGTGCTAACAATAATGAATGGTGAGTTTGGCTCAAATAGTATTATGTTATATAAATTATTGTGAAGTTCGAGCAGATTTTGTTTGAGCTCAAAAATGAGATTTGCATTTAAAGTACTTGAAACCAGTTGGACCCTTATATGAGGTCTATGACTTTGTAAATTTCTGTCAGGAGGCTTCTTAACCACTGAGAGGTACTACCACCAACAAACGACGACCCGAGTCTTACTCGGTCAACGTCTGTCACTACATAATCGAAGTTGCAATGGAAAGGGCGAAGGATCATTCGTGTAAATGTTTTTATTAATTCCTCTTTCGAGATGAGCTACATGATCGAAGTTGCAAAGAAAAGGAAAGTCTGAGAGATACTACATTCCCACCATTATGTGACGCGTTTTGCGTTTCGTTTTAAGTTCAGCAAGATGATAATATCGGACCTTATACTTCCCAACAATATCGTTTTTCATACTCTAAGAGCCCGGAATGCCAACTTTTAGACCCTTCGATTAGAAAAATTAAACCTACAATATAAAGAAAATGGGGTCGTACCATTATATGAAGGCTTTCTGCGGTTGAAACAGCGCCAAATATGCCAAAACATGGACCCATGTTGACAATTTTCTGGGAATAGACCTCCAAAATGCCAAGATATCTTTATATAGAAGCTTAAGATCTGGAAGTCCTTATAGACAAGGTTAAGATTAGAAGTTTTTTTATAGACGAGCTGAAAGCCAAGGTGCTCATCTGAAGGACACAGAGTCTTTATTGACGAGCTGGAAATCACGAATTCTTTAAAGATAAGCTGAATGTCAGGGAATATTTATAGGCAAACTGAAGACAGGGAGTATTTACAGACAAGCTGATGATCAGGGAGTCTTTGCAGACAAGCTGAAGATCAGGAAGTATATATAAAGGAGCAGAAGACTGAGGAGTCTTTATAGACGAGCTGATTGCTAGGGAAGCTGTATTGATGAAGCTGTATTCCAAAGGCTTTTATATAGGAGCTGAAGTCCAGGGAGTCTTTTTAGGCGAGGTGAAATCCGGACCGGCGGACGGACAGAGACGGACTGAATATCAGGAAGTCTTTACAGAGAAGCTGAGGGTCAGAAAGTCTGTATAGACGAGCTGTAGACTTAGGAGTCTTTATATACGAGCTGAAGGCCAGAGAAGCTCTATAGACGAACTGAAGTGCAGGGAGTTTGTATAGATGAGCTGAAGGCCCGGATAGTGTTTATAGACAAACTGGCCACGAAGTCTTTTTAGATGAGCTGATGGCCACCGAGTCTTTAAAGTCGAGCTGAAGGGCGGGGATCCTTATAGACGAGCTTAAGACTGGTCTATAATACCTGTCTTTGAAGAGTAGATGAAGGCATGGAGATAAAACTTTGCTGAAGACTTTATATACAAGCTAAAGGTCAAGCAGGTCTTTATAAATGTGCTGATGTCCACAGAATCTTCATATCAGGGCAGAAGACCAAGGAGTTTTTATAGATGAGTTGAGGACTACTAGTCTTTGTAGACTAACTGATGTTCAGGAACTCTTTATAAACGGGCCTGCGATTAGGGAGTCTTTAAAAACGAGCTGAAGGCCAGGTAGTCTTTCTTTCTCGACGTGGGAGTATTTATAGACTTGCTGAAGCATAAGAAGTCTTTATAGTCGAGATAAAGACCACGGAGTCTTTATTCGTCTTAATAGAGGAGATGAAGAGTAGAGAGTACTTAGACTAGCTGAATAGCATGAATTTTTTATAGACTTGCCGCAGACCATGGAGTCTTTAAAGACTAGAGACCACGGAATATTTATGGACCTTCTAAAGGCCAGAGTGTCTTTATAGACTAGCTGAATATCAACAAGGTGGCCTTAAAGGCCTTAAACGATTTCAAAAACTACAGTACATGGTCTACTCCACCAGCGTAAAATTAACAGTATTTATAGATTTTATCTTGAAGACAACAGAGTATTTGTAGATATCCTGATGATCAGTGTATCTTTCTAGACATTTTATCGACATTTTCGACAACCGGTTGATGTGTGAAACCGGTTGTCGAAAATGTCGATAAAATCGGAGAAATGACAACAAATCATACAACAAAACGGTGCATATTTAGCCTAAATCGGGCATTTCGAAGCATGTTCGATAAAGTCATATAAAAATAATGAATTTATTTTTTCCCAAACTAATATTTGGATTCAATATTTTTGAAAATGGCGATAATATATATATATATATATATATAATGTAATATGTTTTATAAACTTTTGTAGAAAACCAAGATTTGTGTCAGAACATAAAACGGACTTTAACCACTTTCAAAATTTAACAACTCATATATACTGCTTCAACTTGTTGATTCCTTTAAATTTCCAATTTTTCGAATAATTTTAATTTTTATATTATTTTATATCGTTGGTATTTGTAACACAATGTGGTAAATTTAAATATTACACGAAATGTTCATTCCTTTCCAATTGCATATAAATTTGTATTTAGAAATTCATTTTTAAATTTGATCATTTTAAACAGCTCACACAACAAACAATATTAAGCAAATACTTTGAGTACGTCAACAACATACAGGAACAGATTTTTACATTCAATTAACTCTTCCAGGTAGTTTCAAACTAATTACATTGCATTAATTCTTAGAAATGCAAAGTTCCTTACGTCTATGTACACAGTAGAATACATTTACGTATATTGATTTAGGAACCCAAAGAATTCAAATATATAAATTAAAATGTATGTATGTACAACAGGCGACATATATTCTACACAATTTAGACTTAATATTAATTTATTAGATTTACAAAATTGTTACAACTAAGTATTTACATTGATTGTATCATTTATTTCGTACATATTATGTGTGCTATGAAAAGCGCCTTAAAGTATGCTTTATTTATTTGCAACAGGAAATATTATTAATTTCGTAGAAATCCCAAAGTCTATATGGCTTTATAAAATAAATTGCAAAATTTAATTTGTAAATATGAAATGTTGTATATGTGTTGTATGTTAAAAGGATCTACACATCTAAATGATTGTAATTAAGGGGACCCCCCCCCCATTCTCGGGGTCAAAATTTTTGTTGATATAATTCGAATCTACACTGATTAAAGAATGTCTCTACAAAATTTAAAGTGAAAATCTCAAGAACTGTTGAAGATATATCCGATTTATTGTGTCAGCATCAAGTGACGGCTGAAGGGCTTCTCAAACTTTAAACGCGTTTTTCTCTAAACATTTTTTTGCGAATGGCGGGCACGATAACTCAAAAACTAATAATCCAATCGGTTCCAAATTTTGCAACGTTTCTCTGGGAGTGTATAGCTCTCGTATGAACTAGGATAAAGCCAATCGGTAAAGATCTTCCTTATTTTTTAACTTGGTTTTTGGTAAAAAATCCGCGATTTTTCAAAAATATTTTTTCAAAGGGCCACCATTTTCTTAATTTTAGAGCGAAGTCAATAATCCTAGTTCATACGAGAGTCAGACATGTACTCTTTCTAACACCGTTGGAATTTTCGGATTCCGATGTTCCAGTGAGGAGTTATCATGCCCGCCATCAAAAATAAGGACTTTTCTTTAATTACAAAAAACAACAACAAAACAATAACAAAATTTTTTTGTAAATTATTTTTCTTCTCTTTTAAATCTTCAATTATATATGTGCAAAGTTACAAACCTTAACAAGCATTGGTATTGATTTACCAGCCCATTGAAAATCTTGAAAAAATAAAATCGAGAATGGGGGGGTTCCCTTAATTATATTATGGCTTTTCATTTGTATGGTGTTTTGTCATGAATTTTGATTATTGATTTTCGACAATTTCTTATTGCTGCTGCAATGGTGTTTGATGATTTTACTGTATATTTATTATTCGCAATATTGTGGTTGTAGCATTCCTATATGTATGTGTGTTGGTCGATGATGCCTTTTAATTGAATTTCCATTCAATTTGTATCCGAGAATATTCATCATCATTGCTGAATAGAAATTTGTTTTTAAAACTAATCACATCGATGATACCATACGATGCCATTTGTGTATACACTGTGGCAGTTTGTTGTTGTTATTGTTGTTTGAATATTATTTGCAATACAATTATATAACATTCTATGGAAATGTTATCCACATTTATAGTTTCGTTTTGTTATACAATAAAAAGTAATTGATTTTCATGTTCCATTGGACACAATAAAAGTCATGACCAACTAACTGACCAACCAGCCGTCAACCACATAAATGGTTTCTTAGCATATCAAATATGTATGCCAACAATGTGTAACTAAGCTGGAGTTGGGGGGAGGCGCAAACCCAGTCATCTGTAATGAATATTATTTTATTCATAGACAGCCTTGTGGCATAACATGTTTGTCTATCTTTAAATACACAATAATATATTGGATTTTTTTATATTATTGAAACAACATTATCGTTATCACCAGCCGCAAAGACATTAATATAAATCCGATAAGGAGACTATTTTTTAAATATGAAACTATTCCGACCAAAATGTGATGTGAAGAGCGTATTAATGTGCGACAAGAAATATGTTTTTAATACTTACTTGCTTACTTAGATGGCTTGTTACAGAATGGTTGTTCCATAAGCCAAGCTTAAAAAAGATTCCTAAACGCGTTGGTCTTGTGCACATCTCCTCCAATTTAAAAGACCATGCTCCAAGATGTTGTCTTCTACTTGGTCTTTCCATCTAATTCGTGGCCTTCCCCTTCTGCGTGAACCATCAGTAGGCTTGCTTTTATATGCCTTTTGGGCTGGGGCATTATCATTCATTCGCTCAACATGGCCTAGACACCGTAGTCGCTGCAGCTTAATACGACTGACTATGTCGATGTCCGCTCATAAATTCTAAAGCTCGTGGTTCATTCGACGCCGATATTCACCGTCGACGCAGATCGGCCCAAGAGCTGCCTTATCTGTTTGCGCAAGTGTCCATGCTTCAGATCCATATAACAGCACGGGTAGTATCAGCGCCATGTAAAGTCTGTTTGTTGGTCTGGCGGGATGTGACCTTGTTTCTAAACTGCTTACTTAGACCATATTGTCATTTGTTGGCCATGACAATCCTTCTCCGAATTTCAAACTAATGTCATTCGTTTTATTTATGGCGGTACAAGGTATATAAAATCTCCCTACCTCGAAGCTGTAGTTCTCAAGTTCCTCAGTTAATCCGAGTCGACTGGACGTCTTGCGCGTTAATACATTAGCTTGGTCCTTTCGGATTTTAACTGCTGACTTAAAGTTATCCTGCATAGTCGTATTAGTTTTGTAGGAATGCCGAACGTAGACATGGCTATAAACACCTCTGAACGGATAGGGCTGTCGAATGCGGAGTGAAAATCTGGTCAATGGTGAATTTGCCAGGTCTGAAGCCACATTGTTATGGTCCAATAATGTCATTGACCATTGACTACCGTCGTTCACACAGCACTTTATATGCGATGGGAAGAAAACTTATTCCTCTATAGTTGGCACATATCGCCACCTTGCCAGTATCTGACCACCAGTCTTGAATAGTTCGGCTGGTAACCCATCGGCACCTTCTGATTTATTATTCTTCAGCCGATTGATTGCTATTCTGACCTCATCTTGGCTAGGTGATATATACTCTATACCGTCATCTATTACTGGTCCTGGGGTATCCTCTTCACCGCTACTATTTGTACCAGAAGTTTTTCAAAATGCTCCTTCCAGATCCTCAGCACGCTGTCTGTATCTGTCACCATGTTTCCTTCTTCATCTCTTCAGGAGGATGTGCCTGCACCATAGCCTTCGGTTTGTTGTTTTACTCGCTGGTAAAATTTCCGGACTTCATTCAGACTCCTGTACATCTCGATTTGTTCACGCTCACGTTTTTCTTGTTCATTCTTCTTTTTTCTGAAATACGTTTCTCCTCTCTTCCGATAATTCTCCATTGCGTGTTGCTACTGTCTGCAGGGTTGCCCTATACGCTGCGTTTTCCATATCAGTAGCATTACGACACTCCTAATTGTACCACGGATTTCTTGATGATGGTCTTTGGTACCCAAGTATTGCTTTTGCTGCAATTCTATGCCACTGTTCTTCTATGTTATTATCGGGACAATGAGTGTTTTCGTCATGCAGTTGGGTAGGTTGAGCAGAGTAGGCTTCCGATATTTGTTGTATTTGCAGCTTTTTGACGCCGAGTTTCCTTGTTACAATAGATCGCACCTTTGCTGCTACATTAAGACCGTTTATCACAACATGATCGATTTGATTTCACGTTGTTCGATCGGGAGAAATCCAAGTGGCCTTGTGTCGAGATGTTTGAATCTGGTACAGCTAACTACCATTTTTTTTCAATCAATTTCATGCCGTCCGACGGTGGGTCCAAAGATATTTTCCCTTCCGATTTTTTGCATTAAAATCCTAGCAGAATTTTAATGTCATGGTCAGGGCAACGGTCATATGCTGTTTCCAGGCGCTCGTAAAATATGTATTTGGCCTGTTCATATTTATCTTCGGTCGGAGCATGGGCGCAAATTAGACTGATGTAGAAGAACTTAGCAATTTGCTCCTCTACTGGAGTGAATCTGGAGACGAGGTCTTTCATTCTCCTGTTAACCATAAATCCGCAGCCAAATTCATGTCTCGTTTCATGGCAGCTGTAATTTAGTGCGTAATCGTCTGATTTACTTACGCCTGTCCCTTTTCATCGCATTTCCTGTAAGGCAATAATATCGGCTTTGTACTTCTTGAGCACATCCGCCAAAGCGAAAACTGCGCCTGTTCTGTACAACGTGCGCACATTCCAAGTGCAGATTCGCAGATCGTGGTCCTTTATACGTTTGCGGGGGTCGTCAACATTAGAGGGGTTTGGTTGTATTTTCGTTGCTTTCTTATATTATTAATTTTTTCCGAGCAACTAACCCGCCGCTCCAACCCATTTTTTATAGTTTTTATGGGTGAACTCGCGGCATATCAGCTCATATCAGCTCATTATTTCAATGGATTATGAAAATAGTTACCCCAGGTGACACCGCAGGGAGTTCAGTGTCCACAATTGAGATGAAAGAGAGACCAAGATAAGCCTGGGCTTCGCCATGTTAAAGCCCATGTTACGTTATATATCCCGCTCGAATTCAACCGATGTATATCTAGTTTATATTCAAATATATTTATTATTATTCTGCACACAAATATATTTTATACCTAAACTTATTTTCAGGTGGTGACTTGAAATTCCACATTTACAATATGGGCGGAGAGCCGGGCTTTGAAATGGCACGTGCCCGATTTTATGCTGCCGAAGTTGTCTGCGGTCTGGAACATTTACATCAACAAGGCATTGTCTATAGAGATTGTAAACCTGAAAATATCCTGCTAGATGATCATGGGCATGTTCGAATCTCAGATTTAGGTTTAGCTGTAGAAATTGACGGGGAAATGGTACGAGGTCGCGTAGGAACAGTGGGTAAGTAATGATGAAACAAATATACACTCTAAATATTTTGTTACTAATTTTGTTCGCCCACTTTTTTCAGGTTATATGTCCCCAGAAGTAATTGATAATGAAAAATACTCATTTTCACCGGATTGGTTTAGTTTTGGCTGTTTGCTCTATGAAATGATTGAGGGTCAGGCTCCGTTTAGGGCACGCAAAGAAAAAGTCAAGCGCGAGGAAGTCGACCGAAGAGTTAAGGTATGTTTGATTTATATATAGAACATAAAGGGATTTCAAATTTAAAATGTTTTATCATTGTACATCTGTAGGAGGATCCTGAAAAGTATTCCAGTAAATTTACCGATGAGGCCCCTTCATTATGCCAACAATTACTCGCCAAATCTGTTAAATTACGTTTAGGCTGTCGCAATGGCCGTTATGGTGCTCGTGAAGTCAAACTGCATCCGTTCTTTAATTGTATCAATTGGAAACGTTTAGAGGCTGGTATGGTTGAACCGCCATTTGTACCAGATGTAAGTAATATCTTCAAATATAATTAGTTTGTATATTTTATTACATATTTATTTTGTTGTTGTCATTTTTATTACAGCCCCATGCAGTTTATGCCAAAGATGTCTTGGATATTGAACAATTTTCAACGGTCAAAGGTGTTAATATTGATGAATCGGATTCGAATTTCTATACGAAATTCAATACCGGTTCCGTTTCAATATCATGGCAAAATGAAATGATGGAAACCGATTGTTTTAGAGAATTAAATGTATTTGGTCCCGATGATAATCCAACACCGGATTTATTAATAAATGCCATACCTCAACCAGATACAACTGGATGTTTTCCCTTCCGAAGAAAGGTGAGTCGCATAAAATTATAGAAATAAATAAACAACAAAACGTGGGCATAACCGAAGATCGTAAAATATCTTCATAAAGGTCTGAAAATAATTGAAAAAGGACACATAGTAGCGGAAGACAGTTTTCTTAGCAGACATGCAACGGAGTTTTCATAATTATGTAACGGGAATTCGTTGTAGGCACACAAATTATCATTGTAAATTGAAAGAGTTAATTTTTATGAATAATTTGGGCTCTATCTCTATAAAATATCTGCAAAAAAATTATAAAACACGAACAGAAGCAGTCTAGACTAGCTAATTATTGCGCGATTATTCTTTATGGACGACCGAAAACTGTTGCAAGTCTATCAATCACTGGGTTATTAAACGAAAGTTTAGTGTAAAGTTGACTATTTTGTTCTGTAGTGTTTGCCGGAACCTCATCCATCATTGATCCATCTCTATGAGATTCAATGTATGTAGAGAATGGTTGCATTTTCGAGGTTTCTCTGGACTGAACCGGATGCAGGAGTAAAGCGAAAGGAGTTACATCGCTTCATGCACGTCTCCCAGCGTGTCCCAGGATTCGCCGTCCGAGTCATCTAAATCGTCGAAATGTGAGACACCCCCTCAGTCTCCTCAACAGCAGAACACGCAGCACTTTACACCGCATTTTGCAGTTCAGCGCCTAAAGAATGCATCGTTCTTACATTTCAATTGCGAAAAAAAATCAGAGAAATTTTGGAGTTTATGAGTCGAAGGAGAATAATGGTCGGTCCGATACAGGAAACTAAACTGACAAGTAAATTGTGTGCAACGGTTAAGTCACTTTCGAATCCTGTAAGAATGGATAACAGGGCGGCTGTCACATTTAACGACGTAACTGCGACAGACCCGAAGAGGTGCGCGTGTTATTTAAACCGGCAATTTATTGAGCATCCCGAGAGTGACATGGCGAAAAAGGGTGTACTGCGTCGCATGAGGTCACTTCGAGCCAAGGAGGTACCACATCAAAAACGCTAAGTCATCCAAAACACCTGGACGGAATATCCATGATAATGCTTAAAGAGCTGGATGAACTCGAAGTTGTGTATTTAACATCAGTGCTCAACTTATCGTTAAGCACCCACATAATTCCTGAAGCCTGGAAAATAGACAGGGTGGTCCCGCTACTGAAGCCTGGAAAATATGCCAGCAGGGGTGAAGCGTACAGGTCGATTTGACTCCTATCGCCAGTAGCAAGGATACTCGAAGCGCTAATCCTCCCATCTTTGAGAAACAGTTTTCCAGTTGCTCAACATCAGCATGGATTCCGCAAGATGCACAGCATAACAATATCATTACACGTCATTTCCACACATATTAGCAGAAGATTTAACCAGAACAGGCCATGCAACCGAATAGTTATGATGACCTATTAAAGGCCTTCGATACCGTAAAACATGCCAAGCTGTTCGAGGACATAGAGATGAAAAATCTCCGCGTTTGAAACTTTAATAATCAACTATATGTGTGGAAGCCCGTCGTACTTGGAAATCAGAAACAGGAAACCTAAACCTCGTAGATTGAAACAGGGTGTTTCAACCTCTACCAAAACATACATTACGATCTCTATGCCACAACTACCGGGTCCCATTATTGATGACATTTGTGAGAGATTAAACTTCTCGTAAATTTCTCCCTTCTGAGGAATATGGAAATATCCGCCGCAAAATCAACAGCCACACTGTTCACCACAAGGATGGCTGAAAAAGAGCTCCCGCTGAACATAATGGTCGATGGAGAAGGGATTCCCACCACTAACTACCCCAAGATACTGGGAATAGCGTTCGACAGACTTTTCAAGTTGTCTGCGCAAGCCACTGCTTTATGCCATAAGCTGAGAAGTTAAAACAAGGTCCTCAAGTCGGCAGCACTTGGGGTGCTGACAAAGAAACCTTGTTGACCTATTATAAAGCAGTAGGATGCCGGTCAGTGGAAAGCTATGCGGCGCTAGTGTGGCGATATGTAGTGGAAGAATATCCAGATCTGCCAGAAATTTGTCCTGAGAAGTGCAACAGGGGGTCTTCTCATGACTCCAGTGGACAACAACAAATCAACAGATTTCTAGAAAGAGCTGATTGGACTAGGACTCATGTAGCACTCTTATAGGCGCACCCGTTGGCTCCGGATGGCTGGCCAATGACCGACATATTCCTTTAATTGAACTCAATGAGGTTTCTTAGTCTGCACCGAACGTGATGTCGATGTCTTCTTTCCTACTTGTAACCGTACGAAATTTAGGTAGTTGGTGGTTGAATTGTATTATCCAGGTTTAGACATTCAGTGGCATCTTTGTCACACTTTTCTTGTATTTTTTTCATGGAAGAAGGTAATATATTGTTAAGTTTGGTGTTTACGAAAAATTCTAATTATTATTTTTTTTAGAATTCTTTCAAAGTTGCATTTAAACTCTATATTTTAGATAATTCGAATCTAAAATGGAAATTCAATTTAGTCTACTACAATGCCGAATGTTTAATCGAAAAAAAATTACATACATATTCTAAAGATGAAATTCTTTCTATACAATTAAAATTTTAATTTGTTTATTCATTAAGTTTAAATATTTTCTTATCCCACAAAATAGATATAACTTTAATTTCCTTTTCTTTTCTTTTTACAGAAGAAACAACCGGCTAGAACTCAACCCATTCCCATTCCCGAACATTTGTTAACCACTAGTCATAGTGTTAGTTCAACAACTGTTGAGAGCTGATAGAAGAAAATCAATAATTCCATAACAATAAATATGTCTGCAACAATTACTACTACTACATCTAATGCCACGTCAAAACAACAACAACAACAAGAACATCAACCATAACAACAAATAATTATCAAAATTCTACTTAAATCCTTTAGACAAAAAACACTTTAGGCAGAAACAAACACAAAAATTTAATTACTTTAAATGGCGAGAAGAATAAAAAAAAACAAATATGAAAATACGGAATAATTAAAAGAAAACTTATAATCGGAAACAAAACTTCCCAACCCCCTTCACTTTCACTTCCTCTATTTGGCACATATGCCAATACAAACCAACAAACAAATCGCACAAAAATTCATCATACATATAAAATAATTGTCGTCATCGTCTTACATTTTAAATAATCTACCGCAACTAACTGCAATTATAACAACAACAAACAAACAAAAAATATATATTTTAATGGACATCATAATGGGAATCCTTTTTTTGCCATCTGAATGTAAGATTTACGTACAATACATACACATACATAAAACAGAGATTCATATGAATATCCATTTCCAAGATATTTTTTTATTTTATTTGAGGAAAAAATGTTTCTCTTAAAAAAAACAAATTATTAAAGAGAATTTATTTTTTAAACAAATAATAAAATGATAAGAATCAGACACCCCTATTCCCCACTTCAATGGATACAACAACCTCTATTAGATATAATGTGCTAAGAATTATACAGTCGTATATAGTTGTTCTCCTGATATTTTAGGAGTGCTGTTTAGTTTTCTTTTTATTTTTTTAGATTTAAGTTTAATTTGTACACTTTAACATTGAGTCTTATAAGTAATTACATACGTCATTGTCTTAAACTATACTATATATACAATACGACATATATAAATATATATGATATGTATGTTTGTAAAATTATCTATATAACACATAGGCTTGCAAGGGCATGTAAATTCGTTTTAAAGTTGAGACCATATTTTTTACCATAACTGTGACTTTTCAATTTCTGAAAATTAAATCAAATTCTTGTGTCCAATAACCATGTCCCTTGTTTTTAGCCCATGTGTTAAATTGTTTGTATATTTTTATTTCCTTTTTTCCTAATTTTAAATTGTATTTTTTTTTCCTTCTTTTGTTCTAATATATAAATATAAGTTGTGTATTTTTTCTATTATTATTAATATTATTTACGAAATTTAAAAGACTTCTTTTTAAAAATAAAACAAAAAACCAACAAAAAATATCCAATAATAATTATAATAAATAAAAAAAAACTAAATAACAGAAAACATATTACAAATTTATTGCATATTTACAAAATGAGCAAACAAAAACGCATAATTTATACATACTCTATTTTTACAAAAAAAAAGTAAAAACAAAAAACAAATTATGAAATAATTTTTATATATATAATTTTTTTTCTTCAGTTCATTTTATTTACTATTTAAAAAATAAAATATAGAATTTTTGAAATTTTTGTTTTTATTTTTTTAATAATAATAATTTAGAAACAAATTGTATTAAAAAAATTCGAAATAAGAAAATTGGTTATAGTTTTTTATAGAATCAACAAAATTTATAAATATATTTGGACCCATATAATTGTAAAATATTTTATTGTTAAAAATTACAATTTTTTTGCCATAAATGTCAGTTAAACAAAATAATAACAATAATAATATCGTCAGCAATAATATATAAAAAAATTGAAATGTGTATTTTTATTTATTTAATTTTGAGTGGAACTTCTGGATTGACTACATGTAAAATTTATTAAAATGCTGTAAGTTTGTTTTAATTGTTTTAGGGGAACTCAGAAACATCATTGTAGAGTCAATATTAAATTTGTCATTTCGTTTGCAACACGACAAAGTATCCATCGTATGCCCCATAACGTAAGTACACTTGTGGCCAAAACTAAAGCAACTAAAATTACAAGGTTAATAAAAGCAATTACTATGTTTTGATTTCTAGACCTTCTTCGATTCTTATAGATAATTTGTAAGAGTTCAAATGAATTTGGGAGACGGTTATCGTGGACGAGCTAACGTAGCAGGCCTATATGCCCGGCAACTATCAATAAAGTTATTTTTATATTAATAGGAACCCGACTCAGTGGGGAAATATTGAATTAAAGTTAAATATTAAACACTCAGACACGAAACAATATTACCGGTAGAAAGTCCAATATATATATATATATATATATTTAATTAATAAATCACCTATAACTTTATTTTCAAACCAGTAAGGAAAGTTCAAATGTCGGACGGGGCCGACTATATGATACCCTTCACCACTTTGGGTTGATACAAGAGATGTTAATATCTACAATATCCTGTAGATAGAACAGACATAGAATCATTGGAGAATTATTGAGATGGAATCGGGCGAAATTAAATGTGTCTTCGCAGACATCAATCTGGATCTAATTCAGTACTCTGTGCGAAATTTTGTTTAAATCGGACTAATATTGGGAGTTTTGTGTATCATTCACCAAAAATCGGACGAAACTATATATGGGAGCTATATCTAAAACTGAACCGATTTTCTCCAATTTCAATAGGCTTCGTCCTTGGGCCAAATAAGTGAACTGTGCCAAATTTCATCCAAAATGGATCATAAATGCGTCTGTAATTTATTCACAAAAATACATGGACGGACGGACAGACGGACATGCGTAGATCGACTCAGAAAGTGATTCTATGCATATTCTCAAAAGGAACCATGTATATTAATATTCATAAATAAATTTCTATGACTGTTGAGACCATTAATGAACACAATATTCAATATGCTAAAGGTTTTTGTCGCATCCAATCGAAGTGTTTGTAATTTGCCATTCCTGGTTGTCGGAGGGTAATAAACATCTCTGTAGAATATTTTGAATCTAGGTCCACGAGTTGAGATAGTGCCAATTTAACGATCCCGCCCCATTTTCGGTATTGTAATAGGATTTGTTCACATATTCTAATCGAGAAGGGCGTAAACTTAAAAATTCACTATCTTGTAGGTTGAAAAACATCCTTGTAGAAATAGTCCCTATATTAACGGCCATTTTAGGCATGTTGAAGAGTTTAGTTCCATTTTCAAACTAATTGGAATTTTGTATTCATTGCAGAAAACGTGCATATATAAGTCTATGATTTTACATGATCTATGATTTTTTAGCCTGATTTTTCAAACGAATTGTCAGTTTGAGCTCTTGGAGGCTATAAAATGTTCAATATAGGACCACGGTTTTACATAAATAGATCCCGTCTCATTTTCGATATTTTGAAGATTTGAGTATCGGTAATTTCTACAATAAAGAAAAATGTATTCTGTTTACCTTATTTGTGTTAATAGAGTAAGGAGTTAAAAGTTAATAGAGGTAAATAGTTACATCCAATGGAGAAAAGTTGGACTGAGCCGAATATATGATAGTCTAGAGCACTTTGTGTGTATTATACAAGATATGTTTCAACGATTCTTTTAGTAACCTACTTGAATATTTATACAAAGCTTAAGAAACGCCTCTTTCTAATGTATTTGATGTTATGTGTACAATAACCAGTGGTTGGGCAATCATCTGTGTATTGTTTGATCTACATATAAATGAACCGATTTCAATCAATCCACTCACATGCAAAACAAAGCAAATAATGGAAAAATTCTGGTCTCTAGTGTAAATTGAATAAGAAATCGGACAAAGTTATGAGAGTTATTTTTAAGTTATGAGAGCAAAAATTATATTAATTAAATTAAATTATATTGTTATTATTTTTCTTAATTGATTAATACATATTTCAAAACACATACAGTTGATGATTGTAAACAAACATTATGGTGGCTATATTTTTCGGACCCTGCTTCTTATTATAAATCTATGTGTATTAAAATGTATTAGAGTATAAAGAATTAAACTAAATAAGAAAGAAAATTAAATAAAAAATGAATAAAAGAGGAAATTATAATCATTCACATTGAAGATATAATTTAGAATAACAAAAAATATTAAAAAATTACATCCAATGCTCACAGTGAGAATATGATGTTAAATGATTTTGAAAATTAGAATAACAAATTATTTTTTTTATAATTTACAGTGTTCTATGACAATATTTAAAGTTAAAATTATTTGAATTCTAATTTTTTTAAATTTCTGTGTTAATATTTAATGTTCATTAAATTTATTTAATGATACATTTTTAGTTTTCATTATGTTTATTTAGTAAACCTTAATGAAATATATTAAAAAATTAGATATCACAACATTCTATTGCAGAGATACATACATATGTATGCAAAAAATATATTATAATAAAAGAAACAAATAGTTTATGTATTTTTTAAAACAATAAATATAAAATATATGGAAAGTAATGATGCAACAAAATACAATATAAAAAAGTAAAAAACAAAAATGAATTATTGTAATAATTAAAAAATAATAATACAAAGAATGAAGAAATAAAAATAAATAAATATTAAAATACATCTACGTGTTGTTGTTCTTTTATATAAATATAATATGGATAAATAAAAGTCAGTCGGCGTTGCCGACCGGTATGAACCCTCAGCGTATGGTTTGCGTAGGTATACGGACAAATGCACAGGTGTTATTATTCGTTGAAAGAAGATATATGTTTTTTATCAGAGAGTTGATCATCTGTGGAGAGGTACTAGAAGATGTTGTCCTAAAGACACTATATTCGGATTTAAAATAGGTTTATTATTCACTAAAGCACTTTAAAATAAATTTGCAGGTTTGTCAAGTGTTGACCCTTGTGGGGGAGGTACCAGAAGGAGAGGACCAAGTACCATCTTTTAACATAATTTATGTAAGATAAACATATTACAATGTGCAAAATTTGGATGAAATCGGTTCTCCCTTCGAGTGTTATCATACACCTCTACCAGTCAAACAGACGGACGAGCAAATTGGATTTGGTCTAAGAAACATGGGGTTTACACCAATATTTCATTAACCATAAAGTTGAGAGTATAAAAACGGGGCCGATAATGATAAGGATACGTCATTCTAGACTCAATTCAATGTGTTATGTTATGCCATATTTCGTATAAATCAAACAAATCTAGTGTCTTTTTTGTTTACATTATACAAAAAATAGTCGATATTTAAAATATCCTTATACTTTCAAATATTGCTAATTTTCTCTTATATAACATAAGTTTTTATATGTATTGCCAATATGGAATAATACTTAAATTTTTTCTCAAACCATTTGTTTACAATTTTTAAAAATCGGAAAAGTAGTCCCTAAGTTATTGGCATTTGAATTCAACGATGTACTAAAATATACTTTCTGTTCGGTTCTGGGCGCCTATTACCTGAAGATGAAAAAAACACACAAAAATCGATTTTTTAAAAGCGGCAATTTTTCTGCTCTGGTTGGTATGTAAAGAAAATTATAGCATACTTTTAGGTCGGACTTTTTAAATTGATAGATGATTGATTGATGGCGTAGTGGATGATATATACCAAGCAACGGCTCTGATTGGCTTTAACATGGCGAAGTCCAGGCTTATTTTACACCCTCTTTCATCTCAATTGTGGACACTGACCTTCCCGCGGACACTGACCTTGCCGAAATAGTGAGCTGATATGTGCCGCGAGTTCACCCATAAGAACTATAAAAAAATGGGTTGAGGCGTCGGGTTAGTTGCCCACACTAGGAAAACAAAAACTACTATACAAAATCTAAGAAAAAGAAAAATGTTAACGACCCCCGCAAACGTATAAAGGACCACGATCTGCAAATCTGCACTTGTAATGTGCGCACGTTGTACAGAACAGGCGCAGTTTTCGCTTTTCGAAAGGGACTGGCGTAAGTAAATCAGATGATTACGCACTGTATTATGGCTGCCATGAAACGAGACATAAATTTTTCTGCAGATTTATGGTTAACAGGAGAATAAAAGAACTCGTCTCCAGATTCACTCTAGTAGATGAACGAATTGCTATAATCCGTATAAAAGCGAAGTTCTTTTAAATCACTCTTATTTGCGCCCATGCTCCAACAGAAGACAAAGATGAACAGACCAAAGAAATGTTTACGAGCGCCTAGAAACTGCATATGACCGCTGCCCTGGCCATGACATTAAAATTTTGCTAGGAGATTTTAATGCAAAAACCAGAAGGGAAAATATTTTTGGTCCCACCGTCGGAAAACTCAGAAACATTCGAATTGACGTCGCGGCAGCAAAAAACATGGTAGTTAGCAGCAAAAGTTTCAAGCAACTCGGTATACACAAAGCCACCTGGATTACTTCTGATCAAGCTACGAGAAATCAAATTGACCATGTTGTGGTAGACGGAAGGCATTCGTACAGTGTTTTAAACGCTCGATCGATACGTGGAGCGAATATTACCTTGTGGCAGCCAAGGTTCGCACCCGTCTTAATGTAACAGAAAAGGTGCGATCTAATGTAAAACAGAAACTCGACTCGAAAAGCTGAAAACACAACATGTAGCAGGGGCCTACTCCGCTCAGCTTACCCACCTGCTTGACCAAAACACTTCGTGTCCCTATAATAGTATAGAAGCACAATGGCAAAGAATTTCCCACTCCCTACAAACTACAGCAAAAGCAACAAAGAATGAAGACCGGAAATTTTACCAACGAGTAAAACACCAAACCAAAGGCAGGCACATCCTAAGGTAGAGATGAAGAGGGAAAACTGGTGACAGACACAGACAGCGTGCTGAGGATCTGTAAGGAGCATTTTGAAAAACTTCTAGTATCAAATAGTAGCGGTGAAGCGGATTCCCCAGAACCAATAAAATATGATGGTATAGTGTATACCACCTAGCCAAGAAGAGGTCAGAATAGCAAACAATCGGCTGAAGAATAATAAAGCAGCAGGAGCCGATCGGTTACCAACCGATCTGTTCAAGACTGGTGGTCAGATGCTGGTAAGGAGCATGCATCAGCTGATTAGTACAATTGGGTAGAGGAATGCATGCCCAATGATTGGAGCCTCAGCATCCTGTGTCCCGTTCACAAAAAAGGAGACAAGACGATATGTGCCAACTATATCCTTCCATCGTATATAAAGTGCTATCCAGCGTGCTGTCTGAACGACTAAAGCCAATTGTCAATGACATTATTGGACCATACCAATGCGGCTTCAGAGCAGGCAAGTCCACCATTGACCAGATTTTCACTCTGCATCACATCGTGGAAAAAAACCACGAAAACCAAATCGACACATTCCACCTATTCGTCGACTATAAAGCCGCATTCGACAACCCTATCCGTTCAGAGGTGTTTAAAGTCATGTCGGCGTTTAGCATTCCTGCTAAATTAATACGGCTATATTGGTTAACTCTAAGTGACACAAGGTCAGCAGTTAAAGTCGGAGCTCTTTAATACCGAACGAGGATTTAGACAAGGTGACAGTTTGTCGTGTGACCTTTTTAACATCCTGCTGGAAAAGGTCATACGAGAGGCAAAGGTGAACTGAAATGGCACTATGTACACCAAACAACACATGTTACTCGGCTACGCTGATGACATCGACATAATGGGTCGAACATTGAGAGCAATAACAGCCACCTTTGAACAAATTGAGGAGTCTGCCAAAGTGGGTCTGGCAGTAAACAGCGAGAAGACCAAGCTGATTGTATCGCAAGACGTCCAGTAGACTCGGGCCAACTGTGGAACATGAGAACTACAGCTTCGAGGTAGTCAAAGACTTTGTATACCTTGGTACTACCATAAATAAAACTAATGACATAAGTTTTGAAATTCGGAGGATAGTGTTGGCCAACAGATGCTACTATGGTCTGAGTAAGCAACTCAAAAGCAAGGCCTTCTCCCGGCAGACTAAACTCACACTCTACAAGACGCTAATACTACCTGTGCTGTTACATTGATCTAAAGCATGGGTACTAGCGACTACGTTGGCTAGGTCATGTTGTAAGAATTGGATGACGATGCCCCAGCCCAAAAGGCATATAATAGCGAACCAGCTGATTCTTCACGCAGAAGGGGAAGGCCACGAATAAGATGGAAAGATCAAGTAAAAGACAACATTGCCGAATATGATCTTTCAAATTAGAAAAACTGCGCAAAAGACTGACGTGCCTGGAAATCTTTTTTAAGCTCTGCTTATGGAACGAAAGTTCAGCCACAAGCCAGCTAAGTAAGTAAGGAAATTGGCGTCCACAAATTATGAATATCGATCGATTTTTGGGTAATAACCCTCAGAAATTTGAATAATATCCACCCCATGATGGGGCGTATAAAAAGTACAGCCCGACAGAACTTAACTGAGTTTATTCATACATATATATTTTGCTATTCAAAATGCAACATGTTTTTATGTGTCCCAAATTATTGACCTACCTTTCACAATGGATGACTACAGCCATACATCTGTTTCATTGAGAATTCAAACAAAAACCGAATCTGGGAAGTAATTCAATATTCAATATAAGCGCGTGTTTCGAACAACTTCAAGTTTAGTTAAACTTTTTGGGAAATACAGGAAATGTTCTTAGCACTATTGATACTGCTCGGTTTCACCGAAATCAATTGTAAGGAAAGACCTCAGTGTAACAGCCTGTAAAGGTTATAATATGAGCTAACTTTCTTGAAATTCTTTCTTCCTTTATCAACATAGCCGATTTGCGGAGAGAGCGACAAATGATTCAAACGAATTTTCGTAATATGCGGGTACGCCTCAACAATTCGCCAAGGAATCACAAACCTGCAACGAATATAAGAGAAGGTCGCGTTGAAATTAGCACCGATTTTGGTCGTACATGGGGTACTGTGTGTGCCACCCATTGGAGTTTTCGTGAGGCGAATGTTGTCTGCCGCCAACTGAATATGGGTTATGCGGCAGCTACAAATCAAACCCAGCAATTCGGTAACAGTACAACCCATCCGTGGGGTATTGTAGGTACTCTGTGTCGTGGCAGTGAAAAGCTTTTACGTGATTGTTATCGTGAAACAACATATCCGAAAATATGTAATGCCCCCAATCCAAATGTGGCTGTGGTTAGGTGTATTGATCGGGTACCCGATTTGCAATTGGGTGTTCCAGAAATACAAAGAAATGCCTATTTGGATACACAACCATTGTCGCGGTTGACATGTGCCATGGAAGAGAATTGTTTATCGAGAGATGCCTATGAAATTGTACGCAGCCAACCGGGAGCATTGAGAAAACTATTGCGATTCGAAACGAAGGCGGAAAATGTGGGTGGGGCAGATTTTAGCCCATATGCCAATTATGATCAATGGCAGTGGCATCAGTGTCACAATCATTATCACAGTATGGAGGCATTTGCAAGTTTTGATATTTATGATTTGAACTATAGGAAAATGGCTCAGGGCCATAAGGCATCATTTTGTCTGATGGACACCTCATGTCGACCGGGTATACGTCCCAAACATACATGTGGCAATCGGGAACAAGGTGGGTTTGGAGAATAATACTCAAAATGAATATAATAACATACAACTATTTTTTCGTCTAATTAGGTATTTCGGTGGGCTGTTCGGACACCTATAACGCTCAACTCGATTGCCAATGGGTTGATGTTACAAATTTACCCATACATCGCACGTACATCCTTCGTGTGGCCATCAATCCGGATTATGCCATAAGTGAAGAATCATTCGAAAATAATGGTGCCGAATGTTTGTTGGACTATACGGGTGAACGTCTTACAACCAGATTAAGAAATTGTACACAAACTCCTCTGTGGTATGCCAAATAAATGAAAATCCAAGTTTTAATAAAATTTAGTACTAAAGGGGTTCGCAATTGATTTTCTGTAAATAATATATCTACAACTTTCGAATTCGGTTTTAGAAAAATTGTTTCATAAAAGTAGGAAATATAACATTAAATATTAAGGCAATAATGTTTAAAAATTTCCAATTGGTACTGAGTAAAGGAAAAGCATAAACATTGCAATTAGTGTAATAGGCTTAAGGAATTCATACTATACATCCTGTCCAAATCGAATTTGCTTGCATTTAACGAAAAAAAAAATCGATATTTTAAATATCTCTGAACATTCACATAATGCTATTTTTCTCATATATAACATATATTTTTATATGCATCGTTAATATTTAATAAAACTTTAGAATTCTCACAAACCATTTTTACAAAATTTATAAAAATGGGTTATGTTTTTGCTGAGTTAAAAACAATCACCTATCAAGTTAAAAATCGGACTACATACAGACTGTGCGTTGACCTAAAAGTATGCTACAATTTTCTTTACATACCAGCAACCAATATGGAAAGAAAAAATTACGGTTTGTAAAAAATGCATTTTTGAGCGGTTTTTCATTATCAAGTAATAGGTGCCCAGCACTGAACAGTAAGTGTATTTCGGATCAACGTGGAATTCAAATGCAAATAACTCAGCGACTACTTAACCGATTTTCATAAATTTTACACAAATTGTTCGTGTGAATTCTAAAGTTTTATTCCATATTGACAATCTTCTATATTGATAAAAGAGTAAAGTGATTGACTGACTAATTTAACGATTCATCAACGCCCAGACGAAACGGCTGATGCTAGAATCTTAAAATTTTGGGTGAGGGTCACTCTTGGTCCAAAGGTGACAGATAAGGCTGGTTTTTTGGAAATTTGTACTGGAACAGTACGAAAAGTACTAAATGTAGAGCTAGAACTCTTACATTTTAAATGAGCGTCACTGATTGAGTGTAAAATAGATATAGCAAACGGGTTTTTTGGACATTCTGCTATAAATGTATAAGTATGCGAAAAGTACTAAAATGTACTAAATTTGGTACAGTATCGTAGCATGTGAATGGATAGAGCTAAAAACTTGAAATTTGAATGCAAATAAGGGTTGAGATGTAGGGTCTATTTAAGATATGGTTTTGAAAGCGTGTACTCATGTGTAAGGAAGGTACTATATAGTACTATATTTGGTGTAAATTTGTTTTGGAGGTACAAATCGAGCTGGAATCCTGAAATTTGAAATTAACATTACCGTCGAAGTGTAGGATTGGGATATGAACGTGGTTTTGGAAATTTGTTATTTATGTGTACGAAAAGTACTAAATCGTACAATAACCGATACAGTTTGGATTTGGGTGAACCTATATAGCGGGAGCAAAGAAATTTGGAGTCTGGATCACTGTAGGGGTGTGGGATTGGGGTCAGGATTCAGTTTAATACTTATGGGTACTAAATAGTACTAAATTTGGTACAATTTGAATTATAGGTGAACCAATAGAGCTGGAGTCATGAAATTTGGAGTCAGGATCACCGTTGAGGTGTAAGATTGAGATATGTAGAGGTTTTAGAAATTTGTATTAATGTGTACTGGAATTCTGAAACTTGGATTTAGGATCACTGTGGGGGTGTAGGGTTGGGTTGTGTAGGAAGTTTTAGAAATTTGTACTAAGTGTAGTACATTGGAAATTGGAACTACAGTGTACTAAATAGAGGAACTACAGTGTACTAAATAGAGTTGAAATCCTAAAATTTGAATTTGGAATCATTGTGTAGGATCGTGGTACGTAGGAAGTTCGAATCATGAAATTTGGTACTAAATGGTTCTCAAATTCAATTTATGGTTGATAATGATTAATGTGTGGATTGTTTAGTTTTTCTGACATACGCAGTTTTCTGTGAAAATAAAATAATATGTTAAAACATGTTTAAATATTACCCACATTCGCTAACGAAGTAGTGGGCATATGCTAGAACATATATAAACTTATATTATACACAAAAAAATTAGCATTACGCGAAACTTCTAAGATATTCTAAATATCGACTATTTTCTTTTAAATGTAAATAAAGTAGACACTATTGAATTGAGTCAAGAATTAGTACTCTTTTTCGTGACCCTCCATATTTTATACCATCAGCCTTATGGCTAATTCGTTTCAGACAATTAGGAGTCGATTTACAAAAATACAGTCATCCGTCTGTATGACGCACACGACAACTCTCAAAGGGACTAACCGACTTCATTCAAACTTTGCTCAACATATTATGTCTTTCAAACTTAATTAAATTACGAAGATGGGACCCATAGGTCCACTCCTTCTGGAACCTCCCACACAAAATGGTCAACATTTTGCTGAAAATTAATTTTGTAATATCATTTGGACGAACTCTCCGATTTGAACCAAACTTGGCACATTCTAATATTTTTACCAAGCCTTTATATTGTTTGAAGAAAGGACTTATCGACGCATTCTTTCTAGGACCTTCCCCATAAAGGGCCAACATTTTAAATTTAATAAATCCAATATTATTCGATGCAGGGAAGACTATCAGCCCAATCGTTACAATAATTCCGTACGGAATTTCTTTCTTCTCCCTTTTCCGCAATCGTAAAAAATGCCGCGCTGAATTAAAGGGAGAAAGGAGAAAAAGTAGGCATCATAAAAAAGTTCAATTTCAGACCAATCGTCAAAAATAATTCCGTTCGGAATTTCTTTTTCCTTTTCCCAATCCTAAAGAAAATTTCGCGCGGAATTAAAGAGAGAAAAGAGGCAATGTAGGCATCATAAGAAAGTTCAATTTCAGCCCAATCGTCAAAAATAATTCCGTACGGAATTTCTTTATTGTCCCCTTTTCCCAATCGTAAAGAAAATTCCGGGCGGAATAAAAGGGAGAAAGGAGAAAAAGTAGGCATCATAAGAAAGTTCGATTTGTGTTTTTCCTGTCAAAATATCTCACAAACAAAATCGAAGGGGGATAAAAATGTAAGTATGGTTTTTCAAATATACATAAATTGAAATAGAAATAAATACATTATTTGTAAGTCGAAGACAAATAAAACCCAATTGCAGCATTTAGTGTCATTTTTGGAATTACATCCTGACATTTCACGTGGAATCTATAAAGGGTGCAAAGAGTCTCTTACTCGGTTTTAGAAAAAAAAACAAGTGAAAAGGCGGTAAGTTCGGCCGGGCCGAACTTTGGATACCCTTCACCATAGATATACTGACAGGTACTAGAAATGAAAATATAGGGAACATGCGAAAAAGTGGACCTATACAGACGTTTCTATGTAAACCATAATGTAAATCATAATAAAAATTTCAGAAATTTTTAATGGATAATTATACCCTCAGCCTTATGGCTAATGAGGGTGTATACACTTTAAAACGGTGAAAATGTGCGTCATCGAAATATTGGTTCTAGACTCCATGTTTCTTTGGACCAAACTTTGCCCATCTTATTATTTCTTCCAAACTTAGTTCAAATTCGAAGATGGGGAATATCGGTCCACTCCTTCTGGAACCTCCACACAGGGGCTATGTCTAAGGGCCATTGACCCCGGATTAAGGTTTAATCCGGATTAAGGGTCATTTATCCCGAATTAAGGCTTAATCCGGATTAAGGGTCATTGAACCCAGATTAAGGTTTAATGCGGATTAAGAGTCACTTATCACGGATTAAGAGTCATTTATCCCGGATTAAGGCTTAATCCGGATTAAGGGTCATTGAACCCTGATTAAGGCTTAATATGGATTAAGGGTTATTGACCCCGGATTAAGGTTTAATCCGGATTAAGAGTCATTTATCCCGGATTAAGGCTTAATCCGGATTAAGGGTCATTTATCCCGGATTAAGGGGTATTGGTCCCGGATTAATGTCCATTGACACCGGATTAAGGTTTAATCCGGATTAAGGGTCATTTATCCCGGATTAAGAATCATTTATCCCGGATTAAGGTTCATTGACCCCGGATTAAAGTCATTGACCCCGGATTAAGGTTTAATCCGGATTAAGAGTCATTTATCCCGGATTAAGGCTTAATCCGGATTAAGGGTTATTGGCCCCGGATTAATGTCCATTGACACCGGATTAAGATTTAATCCGGATTAAGGGTCATTGACCCCGGATTAAGGCTTAATCCGGATTAAGGGTTATTGGCCCCGGATTAATGTCCATTTACAACGGATTAAGGTTTAATCCGGATTAAGAGTCATTTATCCCGGATTAAGGGTCATTGACCCCGGATTAAGGGTCATTTATCCCGGATTAAGAGTCATTGACCCCGAATCCGGATTAAGGGTCATTGAAACCTGATTAAGGCTTAATATGGATTAAGGGTCATTAACCCCGGATTAAGGTTTAATCCGGATTAAGAGTCATTTATCCCGGATTAAGGGTCATTGACCCCGAATCCGGATTAAGGGTCATTGAACCCTGATTAAGGCTTAATATGGATTAAGGGTTATTGATCCCGGATTAAGAGTCATTTATCCCGGATTAAGGCTTAATCCGGGTTAAGAGTCATTTATCCCGGATTAAGGGTCATTGACCCCGGATTAAGGCTTAATCCGGATTAAGGGTCATTGACCCCGACTTAAGCCTTAATCCGGATTAATAGTCATTGACCCCGGATTAAGCGTCACTTGCCCCCCGATTAAGGCCTAATCCGAATTTACGGCCATATTTAATTACACACTACTCATATGTATGGTTCAACTGCGAATCGGAACAGTTCGATGTGATTCTCAGCGAACATTGCTGGAGTGAAGTGCATTTTTCCCACATCTTTATAAATTAAATCGAGAATGCCGTATAAAATCTTAATATATAAATGAGCTTAGTGATAAGTGAGTGAGTGAAGCTAGAAGGTTGAAATTATGATTGTAGGTTGTTGTTGGTGTGTAGGCGTGGGTTTTGGAAATATGGACTTTAAGGGTACGAAAAGTATAGTTTCGTCCAATTTTAGGTAAATAGTGGACCAAAGACCCA